ATGTGACCTGTGGTGTGGACCTGAACCGGTCATGTGACCTGTGGTGTGGACCTGAACTGGTCATGTGACCTGTGGTGTCAGACCTGAATCGGTCATGTGACCTGTGGTGTCGGTGTTCAGATGCAGATCACGGCTTTTGGACAGAAGCAGAAGAGTCACGGCTCAAGCATGCGGTCAGGGAACACCTGGAGACCCTGATCCAGCAAGGCCCTCCTGGTTCTGGCCTTAGTCTAGCGCAGATGACACACAACCTTCCCTGGATGGAGGTCAGCCATAAGGTCCAGACACGGTGCTGGACCCAGTGTCGCAAAAAATGGTGAGTGAAAACCTTTGTGAAACCCTGAGAACCACCACAGTTCTGTCACGAGTTCTTTTGCAGGTTCTACTTGCTGAGGAATCGACTGTCCCCTGAGGGTCCGGTGTTCGGCAGAGGAGAGGGGGCCTGCTGCGCCAAAATCTGCCTCATCAACACGTAAGATCCCCGACTCACCTGTTGTTACCTGAGAGCCGCTCCGCCGTGCGCAGCAGCTAAAACGTGTGTGTTTCAGGCTGTACAACCTGTCTGTGGACGACCCCGCCTTCATCGAGTGGGACAAGGTGGCCCAGGCTGTCGGGTGAGGTCAAAGGTCAAACTCAGGCAGGAAGTACCGCCTCAGTCCGCGGAGCAGTCCTGACAGTTCCTGTGTGCTGCTTTGCAGTAAAGTGACTCCCATGTGCGTCCAGGTGACGTTCAACAGACTGAAGTGTGAGAACGTTCCCAACTGGACCCGGCTGTCGTACGATGGTGAGTTCTGGACCGCTCCATCCCGCTGCACCTGAGTTAAGGTTCTTCGTCACCACATTTTATGAACATGTTTATAATATTTGTAAATATTCATTTTAGAGCTGCAACTAATGGCTATTTCAATAATCGATTAATCGGCCGATTGTTTTTACCGATTAATCGATGAATCGTCAAAAAAACCCAACAACAAACGTTTTAATTTCCACCCCTTTATTCCAAAATTGAACATTTGACTGACATAGCAATTCACACAAAAAACAGGTTGCTATTTGACTATTCTGTTAGTAAAATATTGAATAATAAAAAATAAAAGTTAGTCAGATAGCTTAAAAAATAAATGTACACAAAAATATATACAAATGTATCTTTATACCTGCACAATATGTAGCTACTTTGTAAAATGTGTCCTTGAGGGAAGAGTGTAACCTGGATTAACCTGGATTAAAAGAGTGGATTATTGTAGTGAAGCTTTCGTCTTCAACAATGGACAGAGGCCTCATGTCAGTGATGATCATGTTCAGGATGTTTCAGTGAAGACAGCTGCTGCTGTGGTGTCCATGATGTCTGTCCATCATGAAGGATGTTCTTGTTGTTGTTTTCTGGAATGAGACAGTAAATATGTTTTATATTATAATTTACAGCAACTCAAGAAATGCCTTGTTTCACTTGCAGTGTTAAGCCCCAAGTATACTGCCACGTACGTACATACGCAGAGGTACGCACGTATGTACCTCTGCGTACGCACGTGCGTACCTCTGCGTACGTACGTACACCCCAGGGCATGTCCGTGCAAAGCTCACATTTTTACGACCACATACGTGTACGCGGTGTCGCACAATAAACTGCCCAGCGAGGGACAGTTTTGTATGCGACACCAATGTATTAAATTCCTCTTCTTCATCCTGATCTGGCCTTTTCTTTAGTTTTGTTGCCAAGAGGCAGAGATCTCTTCCTCCTCCGTTGATGCCAGGACTGAAATGGAGAGAAATGAAGGAATTTGTCACAAGTGAATTAAACTCAGGTCCAGCGTGGCTGCGGGAGGGTCTGGAGGTTTCCTGGTGGGCTGGTCTGATGTGTGGACTGCAGGGCCAGCGCTCCCTGTTTTTTTTAGATGTTTTTATTAACAACATATAAACACAGAACACCGCTGCAGCTGAGGCTGCCAGCGCTCGCTTTTTTTCCTTTTTTCCGACCTGTCAATCATTCCAGTAGGCGTGTCAGCAAATGACCAATCGGTGACCTCAATTTGTCCCGAAGGTGAACGCCCCTTGTCTGTGAAGCTGCTCTGCGGCTGCTCGGGGTGGACGCTGGAGTATCGTATGAGCCCTCTGCGTACAGTACACGCCTACGTACGCGTGAACGGACGTACGCGGCAGTATACTTTAGATTCTTAGATATGTCTTTAGATTCAGGCAAAAGTAGCTAAAAGAGCAATTAAACACATACACACATAAAATACTTAATTACACTTCACCACTTGCTCTTGCCGAGATCAGATGCTTCTCCCCTCTCTCTCCCCTTTGCTGCTCTGTCTGTCTGTGAAACTGCTTCTGAGCCTCTCTTGTATCTTCTGAACCATAATTATGGATTTGTTTTGACCAGTTGGTCCCTCAACTCAATTTACAACATTTCTTGAAGAGAAGACAGACTTTAGGCGAGCCGATTGTCCTGTTGGCACGCAGCTGGATATCTCATCGACTGGAAGACTTGATGATGTGTCTCTCTCTGCTGCCATCTGTGGATGTTAAGGACATTCATTCAACCTTTATTTCTACAGGTAAATCCCATTGAGCCTCGAGGACTCATTTACAAGAGAGACCTGATTTAACAAAGAAAGATGACAACAATGGACAACAACAACAACAATAAACAGTTATAAAAAGTCATACTGTAGGTTTTTTTTTTACAAATAGGATGGCTAAAAGAAAAAGGTAACAAAAAAACAGCTAGATTCTAAGGTGAATGTAGAAAACTAAAAACAGGAACATGTCTGCATTGGTCCCTGCCAGGAGTCCAACAGATTCTTAAAGACACTTAGAGAGGTCAGTGCTTTCTGACACACATTTAATTGGATTTACGATAACTGGTTCCTGCTTTTTGGATTCAGCTGGTTTTATCTACAATCAAGGAAGTCGTCTGCAGCAAATTTGGACCCGATCATGCTGCTTGCCTTATGAAGGCTTGGTTCGTGCCTCGAGTACCCAGACTCAAATGCTTTGGGCTGAATGGATCAGATCTCGGGGATTTTACTCAGTCACGTTCCATCGGTGTGGCCATGTAATTTGGACATTTCTGAACCGAGTGGACCAACACAGACTCAAGGCAGATGTCATTAAGTTCTGCCTGTCCCCAAAACAATTGTGTTTATCTGAAGTTGGCTCCTTGGCTGGTCTTGAAGGTCATCTTATCTGAATTCACCTGGAGAACATGTGATCCGACGCTCACCACCCCCTCCCTGAGGAATTTCCAACTGATAACCAGCTGAAACCAGCTGAATAAACTTGTGTCATCATTTCAGGACTCTTGAATTCTCAGGGGTTATTCTTGTCCATTCCTCGACATCCCTGGAGAATGTTTATGGATCCACCGGAGGACATGAACTGATTACAGTGACCTCGAGAGCATCTGTAGACGTTGTTGACCGCTCTCGTCTCCGATTGCAGAATGTCTACGTCACTGTGTGCTTGTTTGTGCGAGGTGTTTTTTAATATTAGAGGTTTTTTCTCAGCTAAGAAGAAAAATTCTGATAGGAATTGTTGTTGCCTCCAACTCCTCCATGTGTCCAGTTAACCACAGTTTTTGTCTGTCCAAACAGGTCTCACTTGTAAATGAGTCTTGGAGGCTCAATGTGATTTATCTGTTTAAATAAAGGTTGAATGAAAAAAAGTGTATAAAATACTTAATTACACAGATTTGAGTAGATGTAATAAATTACTTTAATTCCTGTTTAAATGCAATTCATCCTGCCATACCTGCAGTGTCTTCAGACTTTGGCAGCAAATTAAAAGTTGAAGCTTAATCATTAAATTATTATCTTTGTGTTAGATTTATTTATAAATCACATTTAAACACTGCTTGTACCAATTAAATTAAATAAAAAGTAACACACACGTTCTCTATCACCGTCATTAATCAGATAAACAAACAAACAAACAAACAAACAGCAGCTTCATCTTCAGACAGACTGACGTTACGTTTTGTCTCTTGAAACAGAACAAAGTGTTAAATTGTAGAGACTCACCTGCAACACATGAAGAGTTGTATCAGCTGCAGCTCCTTCCTCCTCCTCGTGACTCCCACATGTTTACGTTTATCTCCGTGGTTCTCTCGTGTCGTGTCGTCACTTTTCAAAGCTGCATGTTTCTCAGTTTTTATCTTTGTGACGTTCTCCCACTCTTTGAAGGACTTGGGTCGAACAGTTTTCTCTGCGTCGGTCATTTGTAAAATTTACTTATTGCCCTTTAAAATCAGCCTCTGCTTTGCTCCGCCCTCGCTCTGATCAAGTCGCGCTGCAGAGGTTTGTTTTATTTTTTAAACTTTATTCAGTCAGTCAGCATTGACAATGAACTGCCCGTGAACAAAACGGCTCCGCAGCGCCGTGAGAAACGCTTAATCACGCGACACAACGAATCGATAATGAAATTCATTGCCAACACTTTTTTAATCATCGATTTTATCGATTCGTTGTTGCAGCCCTACTTCATTTATAAATATCAACGATTATCAACGGTTTATATTATGATGATTTCTGTCAGCTGAGACCTGAGGGGGAAGAAAAGAGTTTTATTGTGGTCTCGTTAAATCTAACCATGATGCTGACGCTGCTTTCAACCAGTAAACAGAACCAGAACCACAGTTTGAGCTCCCAGTCCTCCTGCTCTGCGCTCCCAGTCCTCCTGCTCTGCGCT